GAATTTTTGCATGTTTCTAAAGAAACAAATTGCAGATTGTTTTAACTGGATGGATAGGCCAGACAACTTCTATTTTTGTGCTTCACTTATTTACTTCTTTTACTCTTAAGGCAGTCGCTGTTCGTAGCTACATATGAATACATATGTTCAGCGCTGGAACTGGACAGAAAATGCTGTAAAAAAGCAGCAACAGTTCACAGACAAACCTCCAAAACTTCATTGTATTTTATTTTGGCATTGAGCTGCAATTTGCATAAAACAGTAATTATAAATAACCATTTTAAACTAGTCTATTAATGGATACAACCAGACCGTAAAATCAAATGAATTAAAGACTAAATGATCTGCTTTGTGCAATAAATACATTCTGAGCATATGGACTCATTCATTTTATCCCAAGAAAGGACATGTAAAAGTAGTTGAAGCTTGATGGCTGCATCTCACACCACAGTATGGTTCTCTTCCAGCATGCGCTTCATGTAATTCATGTTCTGATAGAAGTAGTTGGGCCGCATTATGATCTTCCTCCAGCACCATGTCCTCCCCTGCTTTCTCTCCTCCCTCGACCTCTGGCTGGTTTATTGTCCTGACGGGGTGGCTTTTTGTGTCGCTCTACTTTGATCCACCCCCCGTCACCGGCTTTGCCCCCCTCTTTTTCCTCACTGGGGTTTCCTGTCACAGACCATATACCCGGTATCAGCGGAGGGCGGTTCTGAGGTGTGACGCTGTAATTGTTTGATCGTGCCCTCCCCGGCTGCCGTGAGCCTTTTCCGCCCTTGTTGCTTCCTCTGTTGTTTGTCCACCAATGCCCCCTACCCTGCCCGCCTCCCACTGGCAATGCCTTGCCAAAGTAGCTGTTCCTCCGTTGGTCGTACATCCCTCCGGCGCTGCGCGGGCGCTCACGCTCCAACGTGCTTTCTGATGTAGTGCTGGACGGACTGCTGCCCTTAGATCCCAGGCTTAGCGGTGACAGTTTGGCCGAAAGGCTACCGGTCGGCGATGAGCAGCGAGAATCACTCCAGGGAGAGGAGCGCAGGTGGTTTGGAGAGCGGCGCAAGGCAGCGGCGTAGGAAAACGCTTGGCTTTCATGTGCAGAGAGGAACTGAGGAAGAGTTTGGGCCTCAGAGCTGTTCAGACGAGTCGTCTTGTGGTTTGACTTCTGCGTTATCATGTGTTTGTGCCGCACGTGGCTCATCCATGCAGGATCAAAATCTTAAATGAATAATATGCAAAGCTCTTTGAATATATTGATTACTTAAAACAAGAGTATTTCTTTAAAGATGTCTTTTAAGAGAAGCAACTTACTACAGTTTGTTCTATCTCTGGGGTCTGCCGTAACTGGAGTCGTTTCAATGATCAGCTCCACGTTTTTTATCTCATCTTGCCCACCGCTGTGGGTCCACACCAACATGCAGCTGTGTCTGGTTGACTTTGGTGACTTGACATCATCCTAATGTGTCAAGTGAAAAGAACACAATAAAAATAAATATTTCGATAAAGATTTTAACCATCACACGGGATTCTAGGTTTATACATTTGCTGCGCTGGAGTGACTCGCCTCATAATTGACTGTGTAGTCTATTTTCTGGTTCTGCTCCAGTCCAACAATCCACTTATCCATCAGGAATGGTGGCTGCAAGAATAACATAAAAAAGTTAAACATTTGATAGTTGCAGAGACAATACATTCATCGTGCAGGTTGATTTACAATGCTTTGCAAAAGTCTTCCTGCCTGTTGACATGTTTTTCTTAAATTGAGGAATTTCAGTCTTGTGAAGGGGTTTAAAGCAGGATTACATCATAAAACAATATCCCAAGCTTCAGCATTTTATGGAGAACTGTTTAATCCACCATATGTAAATGAAAACAGAATGACTGTACGGCAAACTACCAAGAAATGTCTGTCCACCTAATCTAATAAGCCTGGCAAAAAGAGAATTAATTAAAGAAGCGAAATCTATGGTAACTCTGGAGTAGCATCAGAGATCTTCCGTTCAGGTCGGTGTACTGTAAGTTGTCAAAGTCAAAAGAAGTCCAATTAGGAGTTTGCCACGAGCCATGTGCGACACAGCGAATGTGTGGAACAAATCTGACTTTTCCCATTACATGTAAAACCCTGTTTTCTATAAAGACATTTATCAACTCATGCAAAAGTAATTTCAGAGTTATGAGCCCAGCTCCCTTTTGTGTAAACCCAGAGGATCACTGTGACCTAGAAGACTGAGAAACCTGACTGACATCATTTAGCAATTCTAAAAACAAGGAAGAAAGAAAAAAAAACAAATGATTTTTCTGCCAACACCTTCGTCATCCGTAGAACTTCCACTCCCGGTCTGTTGGCATTAAAGATGACATCTTTGATGTAGGTTACGGCAACCTCATCTCCATCAAGCTCCATGTACATTTTCCATTTGCAGTCCTGGAAAGAAAAGAGGTAATGGCGGGATAATGTACCTCTGCTTCACACGCTTGACAAAGTTTCTAATTACACCATTATGTTGGGGAAGAAATTACTTCTTCTTGAACATAAATCAACAGCACAACCTACAGGTAGTTAACTGTAGCGGCAGTTTATGGCTCATGAAGCCTCATATACATGGTGAGACACAGCAAACTTTTAAACTCACAAAAAGAAGAGAGCTATAAAAATGCAATTTGGTGAAAAGGTTTTAGCGAAGGTTTCAGTCTTTCCCTAAATTATGATTACAAATTATTAAATAAATTCAAATTAAGAATAACACTGCAAATAATTGTCGAGCACCGGTTGATTTCTTAAAGCGAGGAGTTTTTTTGTTTGTTTGTTTCCCATGAACTGCTGCAGCCTGCATACATCATACTCCTTGGCACAAATCAGTGCAGTCTCTTTCTGCATGCAGAGTGCTGACACTGCAGTAATGAATCCTCCTATCCTAAAGAGGTGGCCGCGGAGCCACAGGTCACCGCTTAACCGTGCTGGGTTCACAGCTCGGGCCATTTCATTGTGTCGAGATCACAGAGAGAGACATCAGAAGAGTGGCGCTAACACACTCGTCTGAGGAGCCTTCGACCTCTCCTTCATCGTCCCTAGGGGCTGGAAGCGCCTCAAAGCGCGAGCTTCGGCAAGCCTCTGGCTCAGAGACACACCAGTGGCCCCCGTGTTGGCCCCGGCGTCGGCCCTGGACGGTCGCACCGGGGGCTTCCCAGGTCCGCGCTAGTCTAATCACTCCAGCAGAAACAATGTCTGGTAATGATGCCTAGGACCCAAGTGCGTCTAATGACAACTCATACATAATTCAGCACCTTTCACTTGGCTGCACGGTGATATCCTCATTAGTAGGGGACCCTCAGTGGCTGTCAGATGGTGGCCGCACAATCGCAGGCTCTCATTTTGTCTTTGAGAAGTGCAGCTGCTTCCATGACATCGCCAGCAAAGAGGGGCAAAGGGAAAAAAAAATGCAGCGCGGGTTTGTTTTATTTAGTGCAAAAAAACCTTCCAGTTTGTAAAAACAAGGCTGACACGGAACCTGACACCAGGCAGGGGAAAATAATTAGCTCTCATTTTCTCAGCCTCCTGTTTCCTTCTCCCTGCTGTGTTTTCTACCCACTAAACCACCACATGTCAGAAGAAATGGGAGGCAATTAGCAGGCTCGTTTCAGCCCCGCCGAACACACTGAAAGAGGACTATTTATGATGGGACAATGAACAGCTGAAAGATTAAATAACGTTTGCCTTTTAAAGGAAAATGACTTCTGGCTAAATGGGCTATTTTTGATTAAATTCAAACAGCAAGTGAAGAGCGGCCCCTTTCTCCACAGTTTCACACCCCAACAAAGGGGCTGTGAGCGAGTCGAGGTGGATGTGGTACAAGGCTGAGAGTGAAATGTTTATTTGTCTGGTTTAATACATGTCTAGTGATGCCCTCAATGGCCAGTTTAACAGACCGCCGTCATGCATCTTCAGAACAAACAGCTCCAGCAGCAAGCGGGCCGAGGAAAGTATCCATTATTATTGCCCAAATGTTCAAAGTCAACTCAGCAGCTCTGTGTGGTATTCATTAATTGTTGGTTTCACAGAGCCAATAAGGAGCCGCATCAGACGCTCACAGCTGCAGAACATGTTGAAGTCAATGTGTCTCTGTGCAAACTTACAGATTTTCCAGTTCCTGCTTTCCAGTGGTACCCAAACACCAGCTCCAGATTGACGGTTTTACTCTGTTCCACCTCCTTTTCCAGCTCATCCTTACAGGGAAAAAAAAAAAACATAAACCCAAATATGAGCAGAAAATATAGATGTTCCAAAAAAAAAAAAACTCAACTGGTGACTGGCCAGTCAGAATCTCAAAAACATTAATTCAGCATAACCAGTAAGTCATAAATAACAACAAAGCTCTATCTGTTCAATGTAAAATAAGTATTCATTTTGGAAGGTGTTAGGAGAAAAAAATGACTCAAAGCTAACTATTTCAGACACTGATCTGTTTAAACAGAAGACAACAAATTTTCAGCTTCAGTCTGTCATGTAACACCCTGGATTTGGAAATGTTGGCAGCTTTTTGGAAATGTTTTAATGTAAGCCTCTACATTATGGCTGTTTTCGTAATGCTAGCTGGCCTAACCATTATTATTATTATTATGATGATGATAATAATAATAATAATAATAATAATAATAATAATAATAATGGAGGAACTGGGTTCCTGTCTAAGAAAGAAATTCAAATAATTTATTTGAATTTCTTTCAAATAAATTATTTGAAATTGCTAAAGATGAATAACTGGATACAACTCAATTTCATAATACATGAAAGTACTAGCAAATTTAGTTAATATTTGCTTAATTCTTCCTCATTGTTGCTCTTGAGGTTCGATGGGCATTTGCCAAATAACAACTTAACTTTTGCAGTCAGTTCTAACAGATCATCTGAAAATGCAACTGGCTAAAATTGGTATAGTCAAGTTAAATAAAAACAAAAACCAGAAGATTTTGAAAGCAAACAACACTTCTCAATGAAAAAGAAGAAACTCCATACCTTCAGCAGTGGTGGGAAGTGGAGAAACCCGAGGTAATCATTAGTTAACTTTTCAATCTCTGCCTGTTAGGAGGACAATCTTTTTCACTTTACAGTAAAGACCAAAAGAAGTAGGCTTTGAATCTATGCTTTATAGGTTATCACGTCGTAATGAGCGCCTTGCCTTAAGGTGCATGACGTGACCTTTGGACTTGACTCCCATGTCCTTCATGTCGCTCTCTGTGAGCAGCAGCAACCTCTTCCCTGTGATGTGGTTTTCCTTGAATAGGTTGGCGTAAAGCTGCATGTCACATGTTCCATCTCCTGACACAAACAAACAATAAATTAAGAGCTGAGAGTCTGAAACATTAATAAGTCTGTGACATTAATAAGGTACAAGAAAGGAACAAACCTGCACCAAATAAGTGCATCATCCAGAAATACTGTAAAGGTAAAACAGGAACGGCATTAGTTTTAGCTGTTAAATGATACTATAGTTGGAAAAAACAGTGACACTGACCACATGCTCCTCTGTCCATGTGTATATGTCAAGGGTAGGCAGCAACTGCGGAGAAACACAGATCAAAAGATTATAGCAAAGGATTGTGTGTAAACATCATAAACATCAGGTGTGTCTATAATTTAAGAAATGTCAAAATGGAAAATGGTGATTTTTTTTTGTAATTTTACCATTTATTTTACCAGGAGAACTATGTTCATGTGATTCGTTATACCAATACTAAACAATTCTAAACTTGCTGCTAATATTCAAGTATACAGGATTTATGCTAGATTATATTTTCTTATTTACGGAATTAATCGATTGAAAATTATTTCACACTATTTTGAATGTAAAATTTCTCTAAAATAATAAAATAAATACAATAATCAACCAATAAACCCCCCTTTCCTCTATTTTGAGCCGAGTTCAGTCAGTTGAAAAAAAAGAAACAGCGAGTACTTTTCTTACCCAAGTGAAAAAGTGCGTCTCAACAACTGCACTCCACCACATCCCGAACAAATTGGCCAATCTTAATGTCAGCAAAATGTCACTTCATCATAAAAGCCTGGACTTCTCTAAGCAGCAGGCTTCATGGCTGTTTCTGCACAGCATGGCACTATACATCCTGAACACAAGGCCCCCAGGACAAGACATTCATAATGTCCACAGGTGGAGGGTTTTAGACACATCTGATCATCGTTACTTGTTTCTTGCAGTGTGGCTCATAATATATCTAAATCAAAATAATAAATTATTCATGAGGCATTGTAAAAGCATTCACGTAGAAATTGGAATGCATGGCTTTTGTATTCAGCCCCTTCTTCCCTAGACCCTAAAAAGCTTGAAGGCAGGTCAAAGGGAACACCGGATGACAAGAGACTCACTGGAGTGTTGGACTGTTCAATGAGTTTGCGCTCCCACATCTTCAGACGGCGCTCCCGCTCCTTCAGCTCCTGCTCCTTGGTGCTGAGGTCCCTCTCCAACTTCTTCAGCTGCTCAAGAGTGGCTTCAATCTCGCACCTTCAGCACAACAAACATCAGCTTTTAGAGGTTGGGCTCATCAAGATATTTCCTATAAGCAGACTAATATATCTGCACACTTTAACATGCAAATCATCTTCCAGAATTTTTGCAGCAAACATTTTTAATCTGCAAAAACAAGAAACTGGGAAGAAGGAAGGGAGCAAGGAAGGGCAGAAGGATCGACAGCGATGGAAAGAACAAGGAGACGATAAATAACAGAAAGGGAGGAACAAAGAACACATAGGCAAGAATGGAGGAGACTAGGAATAAAGAAAGGACAGAAACAAGGAGGTGAGAAACAAAGAAAGGACACTAAAAAGTAAACAATGAAGGTAAATTCACCAGTGAGCAGCAGAGCTAACATAGGAGGTTTAATTAAGGCCCTTCAGTTGAATTTTCTTGAATTATTGCACGGCGTTAAAATAGACAAACAAACAAAAAGATCCTAAAATGTCTACTCTCTATGTCACACATTACATTTTCTGGGTTTCTATATACAATTGGGGATGCTACCATGGCATCAAAATATTTAAAAAAATTAAAAAAATTGATAATTTAATGTTCCAATTACCACTGAAGAGAATAAACCAATTTAAGCTTTCGAAAGGGTTGCATTTTTATATTATTTGTGTCTTTTCTAAACGTAATCTCTCTTTTGTTTTTAGGATGTTATTGCACTTCCGATCCAAGTGCATTGTGGAGATAAAACCTGGATCTTTATTTTGTTTTGTTGTGAATGTTGAGCAACAGCTTCACAATTGCCATCTTTGAATAAAACTACCTCTTTATTTGCTTAGTAATACATTTTTGTTGATGGGGTTCAGGACATATTTCTACTAGAATTGCAGATGAGTCTTGTCGATGTTGGGAGAAAGACACTGATAACACACCTGTCAAACAGGGAACTCAACTGATGTGTTGAGCTATCCCAGAACGAATCATGAATTAAACCAGAGCAAAGCTCTGCTGGAAACCCATTAATCCTGGGAAAAATTCGGTGCATTATGCTCTACTCACGTTGGATAACTTTATTCTGTCCAGCAGGTGGAGCTGCACAAGCTTCTCACATGGCAATGATAAACAAATGTTCTCCAGGCAGGAAGGGCAAACCTTGCCTTTCCTGTTCTTTCAGTTCCTCAGCTCTGAAACTTCCCACTCAAAATAAGCCTGTGTGTTAAATCATGTTACACCTCCCGAAGTGATGAACCTTTTTTAATCTTTTAAAGTTGTGTGGATAAATACTATTTAAAGCTTCCTGGATGTTTATCAAAGAATGTTTTTGGTTGACTTTACAATGATGTGTGTTTAAAAAAGGGAAAATGTGTTGAAACAATGACAAGTAAATGATTCTTCATTTGAATTTACTTAAAAGGTAGTAGCTAAATGGCTTAACAAATAAAAGATAAATAAATTTAATATGATACAAGTAAAAATAATTCACAAGTTTATCAAAAATTGTATTTGGTTTTGTGTTTTCTGTAGCTCTATAGGATATCCTTAAGCTCATAGTTAATCATTTAAGGCTTAGCTGCTCTAAAAGCTGCACACTTCAATGAAAATCAAAAATGAACTTTAGAGAAATTAAACGTACATAGAGATGGAAAATTGAAATTCCTGGTACGGGGCTCAGGGAACATAATTGGCTATGAATGGCTAAATACTTGGGGCCTTTTCTAAAAACGCTTAGAACTGTCTATTTTATAGTTCAAACACCAAAATATGGATTCATGCACACAGTGCAAACCATGTTGGCTTTACCGCAGAAGCTAATATCTCCTCATCTCTGTTATCTGAGGTCCATCCAATCAGCACCAAGGAATTTAAACAGCGCAGAAATGCAGAATGTTCAAAACATTAACGCCGTGATAATTTTCAATCTGTTTTAAAATATCACCAAAAGCCTGTTCTTACAATAAATCTCCACAAACTGTTTATGTTGTCACCCCTGCTCCTACCAGGAACATACATAAGGACACTAATTCCTAGAAGGTTGGAAAAAATAATAAAAAGAAAGAAATAAAATTTGGATAAGTCCCAATCAAAAAGTTTAAACTTAAAGAAAGAGATCAGAATCATTTTCAAAATGTTGATGCGTATTTCTATATATACATACTTTATTCAGCTAAGTAATGTTCATTTAAAGTGCAATGAATGAAAGCAAGATAAGCATGATTATGCTGTATTCTTAAATACAAAGTCATTAGAAAAATGACATAAAAGCAGTAACTCTGTTCAGTCCAGCCAACACAGAACCTCTTCATCATCTTTGCTGGAGCTCCCTCCTGTTCTCATCAGGCACAAGTCTCTTCCTTTATGCCATCATCCAGCAAACTTTCTGTGCAACACATTCTCGCTTTCTGCCTTCCAATTCTGAAACTCCTTCCACCTGCAGATGGCTGCCTGGACACGGTGCAACCAGCACAACTTCTCAGATGAAAAACGCAAAAACTCCTCAGCAAACAGACGAGGCCCGCAGAGAGGCAGACAGAGAATAAAGTGACAGCTGAGACTCAGGCTGTGCTGAACATCACCAAACATCCAGCTGCTCATACAGGCCAATTAAACACTTCTACTTGAAAAAGATGGTGATTATTTTTAGGGTCTTATGGGTAAAGAGAGGAAGTATATCCAGATGGATCATTCTTTGGGGGTTTTCATGTCTTTATGTAGCTATCAGTGTAATTATTAAGGATCTATATGCACAATCTCAAGCTCTTTTTTATGCCTGGCGGCCCCCATCAGCTACATTTCCACATCATTCTTAGCAAACAGTTGCACATTATCTTAGGCTGAGGCAGTATACTGGCAAGAGAAAAGCATCATAAATGCATTTACAGGCTGTGCAGAAGAGCTGATCACATTACCTCCATTCAGCCTTGTTGTGAAGGAAAGAGTTGCACTGTTCAGGAAGTTGGCTGTCTTTAGCCATAGACTCCAGTGTGCTAAGAATCTGCTTGAACATCGGCCTTTCCTGCATGAACATATAAATGTACATATATTTATTATGACTCTCAGGAAAACACCCATTTTGCATGTGTTTAAATCTGACTGAAAATGTGACTCACTTTTGGCTCTGCAATCCAGCACTTCCTCATGAGCTTTGCAAAGCTTTCCGGACAGCAGCTTGGGATGGTTAGCCTCTGAAATATCCACAGGACAGAGTAACTTTACTCAGTGTCTATTACTTTAACTTAATCTCACCTTGGTATCTGTAAAGTGAGATTGCGTCTAACAATAACAAGGCTGGTTATCCAGTAAAGTAGTTGCGACCCTAGTCCATCACACTGTCTCCACCAAGAGTGGCTTGGCATTGACTGATAAGTATTGGAAAATAAACTGTTGTACTACCAGTATAACTATCATTATATAGATAGTACAAAGAACAAAATTAACACTTTTACAGTAAACGTTTCTGCATTAATTCATAATTTTAAAAAATTTAAAAAACAAATAAAGAACCTAAAGCTCACAGGGTATGAAATGTATATCTGTATAAAAAGCACATCATAAAATACCTCATTTTTCTCCACCACCAGCCAGGCTACTTGCAGGCCTTCAAGGCCTTTAAATGGTATTTCACGTGTTAGCATTTCCCAAAGCACCTGCCAACGAAAGTTAGGGAAAAGAGTCAGGAAAGAAAGTAATAATGCACACACATGTACAATCATTACATCAATACATGCAAATAAATGTATTTATGCTAACAGTGCATTGTGTTCCACTCAGGATTTCTAAAGGTAAAGGTTTAAATAGTTTTTGTCCATCTGGCGAGATGTCATGTCCTTTTCCTGACCCTAAACATGTACAAGTCCTGGATTCAGGGAGGTTTAAGCCTGGTGATCCCCTCTGGACACCTAATTGCTTGTTGTTCTAGAGCAGGTTAAGTTCTGGGTGGTTCTGACCACACCAGTGTACCAGCCAGTACACATTATGTCTGTATGCAGACTAATTACTGTCCCAGATCAGCCCAGTGGCAATAGCAGCAACTGCTATTGACTTGAAACGTCAGCAGACATTTCAAGTCTGCTGATGTGAAGTCTACTGTGAACAGGGAGAAGAGGAGCGAGGAGAAGAGGAGCCCCCTAGGTGCTAGGAGTAGCACCTAGGGGGCGCTAGTCCTGATGGTACTGAAGCCAATTAAAGTCCTTAAGATGAAGAAGTTTAAAGCATATAATTTGGCTATAATTTTTTTGAACTTATTTTTTGTCTTCTGCAGATTAAAAAGACAATCCTGAAATTTCTTTTGTTGCCTCACTCACGTCAGTACAGAAGCATTTGAACAGCAGTAATATTAGCCTGATTCCTGAGGCAATAAAACATTATATTTACCTTTTCTGATGATAACAAGATTATATCACATGCCTGTTTATTTCTAAATTAATGGTTGTTAGGTTATTTATGACGCTAGGTAGTTTTAATTATTTAAAGATAGTATCACTTTGACCTTAAAATGTTATTAAAACATTGTCATTAAAAGGAATTTTACAGCAGATTTGACCAAGAGTTGGCAGTAATAGCTGCTATGTTTAGGGTGATTTCTTTTTACCACATAGGATCAGGTTGGTTTGGATCATTTTTCTTCCTTAATAAATAAAATAATCATTTTAAAAATCTATTTTGTACTTACTCATATTATCCATGTTTGATAATTACATTTAATTGATTATCTAAAGCATCATCTCAAGCGTGGGAAAATAGCAAAAACCAGAAGTAAATCTGGAAAGAGGCAATTACTTTTTTATGGCACTTGTACCATATTTGACTATGAGTGAAGGGAATTGTTTGAAAATGTAATCTACTCGCTGAAGGGATCTTTCTTCAGAATACTGAATCTAATTTGCACTTACTGTACAAATTAAGAGTGGCTCATTACATAGTCTGAATTAAATTTCTTTTCCTGTCCTGCAGAAAGTTTCATGTTATCTGATAGAAAGTTTAAAAGTGTAACGGAGAAAAGACTAATTTTATGTCTACTTCCAACACACCAAATTTCTAAGAAGTTGTTCTTCTACAAAGGTCACAACTCTTGCTTCTGACCACCCACGAAGAAAAAAAAATGTATGAAAAGTGCCTAGCAGCCAAGAGAGAGACTAAAGTGCATTTTTGTGCAAATGTATTTACCGTATTAAAATTTTCCACAAGTTTGATTCCTCTTTGCTGGAAGAAAAGGCCTGTCACTCAAGTCTTCACTTTAGAAACAAAGTAGAGACCAGATTCTTCAGCTCAGGCTTTTATCTTCACAGTTCTCATCAATCACTCATGACCTTTCACTTTGCATCAGATTGCCACTTAATTGTATCGGCTTATTTGTAGGACAAATAAATCAATCAAAAGGAAGAAAACTACAAATACTGTCAGGAACTCTGATAATTTCTGAATTTAAAACTTTAATTTAGGAATGATGTCAAATTTGACCAAACTGTGAAGGAAAACGAGTGAGATTTGTTCATTGGATCTGCATCCCCAGAACCAGAACCAAGCAGAAAACTGCAAAAAGGCTTCAAGTCTAGACATTTAAGAGTTGCTTTTGAAACAGTACAAATATTTTGATATATAATGATGGCACTCGACCAGTAATTTTCCCTGGTTTTGTCAATTGATGACTGTTCTATGACTTTGAGTGTTTGTGTTTTTTTAATATGTAAAGCACTTTGAACTTTCTTGTTGCTGAAATGCGCAACAAATAAACTTGATTGATTAGTGATGAGGCAAAGATGTTCAGAAATCCACATGAATGCTTTGGTATAACATTTATCGCCACTTTTAGTGAACATGGCAGACATATTTTAACATTATAACTACAATGTTTATTTCTTTCACTTTTCACTTTTAAAATAACCCTTTCAAGAAACAAAACAAAAAAAAAAAACACAAATTTGCAGGTTTTTATTAGTTAGGTGTTACTATTGTTGATATTAGGGACACAGCATCAGTAGTTTTCTGACGTGAGAACATGATTATTTCAAGGTTTAACAGAAAGCCAGGATTTTGTATCTTGTGTACAAGATTAAAAAAAATCTTGTGTGCAAGATCTGTGCAAGATCATCAGGCGTTAATCTTCATCTTAAAGACAGTGGTATAAACAAATATGCATATTTTGAACTGTACATCAGTATGTTTTATTAAACTCACCACGCCATATGAGAAGGTGTCGCATGTCTCTGACACAGGGAGGCTCTGGATAACCTCCGGAGCCATCCAGGGAAACGTTCCCACTAAGGACATGTGCGTTGTGTGGGATAAGAACTTAGATGCCCCAAAATCACATATCTGAGTTGACAAAACAAAATAATTAGGCCTGCTTAGTCATATTTAACATGTCATGAACCTTATTTTTTTTCACACAATTTAGGTCACAATAAAAAATAAAATAAATAGGAACAATCTTGAATTATTAAAGCAAATGTGAACAACAGTAGATAAAGAGCATATGCCTCAGACACTCATCAGCGAACCATAATCTTGATTCCTCCAGTTAATCATAGAAAAGTCAAACTGAATCTGAAAAACCCTGAACTGAAATGAGAGTAGTAATTTTTGTTTTATGTAATTAAATGTGATCCAATCTGCCCACTAAGTTGCATAGGCTGCACTTCCAGTGACTAGTTATAAATGTAAAGTTAGTCACTGCCCTCTTGTGTTCAAGCTGCAGATAAATACAAATACTTGTATTTTCCTGCTCTAAAACTTGGACAAAATATAACTCAAATTTAGCAAAATACCATATTTTAATGTTTGTATTATGATTATTATTATTATTATTAAAACAAAAAGAGACATGTAACAACTTACCTTGAGAACTTTGTCGGCGCCCAAAACAACTGAAAAAAGCAAACATAAAAATTGTCTCTAAAACATAAGAGATGTAAATGTTGGAGCAATTTAGTTCATGTGTAGATATGAAATCTGTTACCATTCCTGGATTTCAGGTCTCTGTGGATCACCTTAATCGGGGCCTCTGAATGTAAATAATGCATTCCTAAAAGAGAGGAGAGGAGTGAGAGATCAGCAGAAACTCGCTTTGCATGAATTGCTTCCCTAAACACAAGCTGCAGTTACCGGCAGGAGCCGTGAAAAGCCCACAAGTGAAAATGTTTAAAGTCAAAATGCTTTCTAGAATTCAGCAGGTTTTTCTGTGAATGCTGTGACTTGTTTAGTGATAAAACTAAAGTCATAAAACTTAACAACTCTGTTAACAACCAAAGCCAGTAGCAACAAATCTAACGCCATATCTGATTCACTTTAGGATGAATTTAAAGAATCAGTTACACTTCTTCTTCATTCATAAAATCATAAAAGTCATGTTTTGTCACTTGATAAGATTTATATGTATTACTTATCTTAGACTGAAATAAACAGAATAATTTATGGTTTTTTATGAGTGTGTGTGGATTTTAGTGGGTTATTCTGTTATTTAAACGATGTGGGTGGACTTGGATGAGTCATGTGCTTCAGGTCGCATTACTAATAACAGACCAAGAGACGCCATTTGAAACAAACCAGTGAAGTCTGACTGGTTTCTAATTTATTTGTTATATTTCATCTATCAGCACAATACATAATTACCCAGTAAGACGGTTTCTAATCCATTTCAAAACTAAATACGTGTCCAGATTCAGATATCTGAACAGTTTTTAAAACATCCTGGACAATTGAGT